GTAGTTGAATAATGTAATCTCTTCAGCAGGTCTTTCAAAAGAATTAATGTTGGCCCTATTGATTTTTTAAATGTTACAAAATCTAAAAGAGAACTTAAAGATGTAATTAATTTTTATATGATTCTCTCCTTCTAATACACCCGTTGCAGGATAGCATCGGTTATATATGAGTAAACTACTATAATTTGTAATGTTAATCATTTATCCTCTGCCCTTTCACCTTGTTTACTTTTTAGAGCACTGTTAGCAATCTGTAATTATCTTGTTTATTTAATTATTTGATTACCTGTTCCCACTCATCTTCTCTAGAAAATTAACTCCCTGAGGACAAAGACTATGTCATTCTTATTTACTACTGTATCCCCAACATCTAGCACAATTCTTGTCACATGTTGGTTGTTAAGAAGGGAAAGACAAAAAGGAGGAAGGGAGAGAAGGAGAGAAGCAGAAAGGAAGTGTACAAGGAAATGTTCAGAGAACTAAGTAGTAGAGAAGCCAACCCATCCATATAGAGCACGTGGGAGAGATTTAAAGATAATGCCTAAAGATACGTATTTCTTATAAAGTATATTTATTTCCTGACCCCTTAGGCTTTGATGCAATCTGCACAATTTGCCAAGTAAAGAGTGAAAATATTTTCTCTTCAACTTCACAAATGTGATGCATTTTCTTTAAAATAGAGGAGCACTGAGCTCCGATAACTGAGATCACTGTGATTGTGAAATGGTCATGATTAGTTTGAGGCGAAAAGCTTGCAAAGGATGAGGTAAAGCTCAGCCCTCAGTTGAGCTTTTAAACATATGAGTAGTGTGTCCTTCCATGAGTTTACAGTTGCTATTTGTCCGTCTCTACCAAGGAGAGTAAAAAAAAAAAAAAGACACAGAACTGGAAGATTCTACTCCATTGTTCTCCTATACCCTCACAACAGTGGTTTCATCACTATGACTTGACTTGAGATTATTAAGTCCATATATAAAAATTAATTCTATGTATTTAACCTCTTTTATGAGAGTGATTATAATAATCTTTGATTTCCAAGTCATAATATATATGCCCAGAAAACTAATACCCATCCATATGTCTCCACAGCAGAAAGATAATTCTCTACACCCACCTCCAGCATTTTCCTTTTTATTCTTTCCATTTTTATTTATCCTCAGATAACTTATTGTCTGACATACTATGTAGTTTACTTATTTATTTATTTGTTCCCTCTCTACTAGCATATAAGTCCCACATGGGAGGTACTTTTGTCTATCTTGTTGGCTGTTTTCAGAGTCTAGGAAAGAGTCTGCCACATAGCAGATACTCAAAAATGACTTGTTAAATAGATACCTGATTAAACAAATGAAGGAGAATAATAACAAGAATAGTTTACTTTGGGAGGGACAGTTTTGTATTTGTTTTTGTTCTTATGTTTTGGAAGAAAAAAGAATGTAGTATCAAATCATCCCTGAGTTATTATAATTCCTCATGCAACCTTGACAGTTCTATTACTTTGAAATTAAATATATATCCCCTCTGGGATGCTGTGTATCTGGGTTCCTTGGATGACATACATTCTACTAATACTTCTGTTATGTCACATTGACTCTAATCTCTGTGGAGCCCAAGATTCATGTAACTTGATTTTTTGATTACTAAAGAAAGTAAGAATCTCTAATCTTTGTAGCATTAGAAAACTCACCAAAACACTGGTAAATTTGGGAAACATATTCAATATTTTACAGTAGATAACAAACGAAATTATGAGTGAGCTCCTTGACTAAATCTTCATCATAAGATACTTAAATAACAATATATTCAGTGAGTCTGGCTCTACATGATCACTAGTTCAGAAATAGCACATGTATTTTGAAGGGCCTAGACTGGGAAGTTCTTGGAACCAGTGCCAGACATACATAAAAGAAGTGTTGTCAACGATGAAAGCCCTACAAGTTTGGATCCCCTGTGTCAAAGAGTGTTTGATATGTTACTGTGCCCTTGGGGAGGAAATCTGGTTATTTCCTGTCATGCTTTCTTGCAGGCAGTCAAACACTCATTACTTTAAGGTTATCAAAACTCTAGATATCTAAAGCAATTTCTCCATGCTGGTTGAAAGGTCATAGAAAAGTCTCTCCCTCGTTTGAAATACCTCAGACTGTACACAGATCCCATCAGGAAACCTAACGGACAGAAGAAGTTACTAGGAAATACATTTTATCTTATTTTTTAAAATATTTTTATTTATTCATGAGAGACAGAGAGGCAGAGATACAGGCAGAGGGAGAAGCAGGCTCATGTGGGACTTGATCCCAGGTCTCCAGGATCACGCCCTGGGCCCAAGGCAGGTGCTAAACCACTGAGCCACCCAGAGATCCCAGGAAATATATTTTAAATAAGCTGTTACATTGACCAAAAAAAATGGAATAAAATGAAGAAAATGTGTATTTGAAATATTGATGGTAAGGAAGAATCATCTCTCTCCTGTACATGAGTATGGTCCAATATAGATGACATAGTTGGGTTTTTTGTTGTTGTTGTTGTTGTTGTTGTTGTTTTTGAAAACTTCTAGCCAGGACCATTTGCTTCTGTAGGGTACACTCATTAAAACAGCACATCCAGCTTAAGTTGTATAATCATGATCAAATCAAGACCAGGATCAAATCAAGATCAAGCTAGTGTTATGCCAGCATTCAAGAGAAAGGTAGAAGTTCATCTCTTTGTCTAGCACATGACTTAATCTGAGCAAACTATTAAAATAGAAAATGTGAGACAGAAAATGAAGAACAATTTCTCCAGGTTTTTCCATCTCCTTCTCTTTATGAACATGTATGAGAATAAAAACCACTAAAAATATTATTAAAGTACCTGACCAAACGCTGCTGTCACTGCATCCTTAAAATTACTACACTGCTTGCATTGCAGATCTTTAGGAAGAGCGTAGTGAGGTAAGATGAAATATGCTGCCCCCTTACCACCCGGGAAAAAGTCATTTTCCATGATCTAACAAATAACAGATGGAGAATGGCTGAGAGCTCTGTTGCTTTCTAAATAGAAAAGCAGTATTAGTTTTCTCATTAGGCTTATAGGAGAGATGGCTTCAGCCGTTAGGTAGTTTTGTTAATCCCTCCAGCTGGACTGTGCAAAAGTGTAAGGCTTAATACTCGCTCTCAACAATATCTATGTATATGGATCAATTAAAGCAGATAAATGTTTTGCCTTTTCTCCCCCTCTAAGGCAGCGAATATCAGCTTAACCAACGAAATGTGAATACATTACACAAGAGCAGATAACCCAGTGTATTGTGCAAGTTGTATTTAGCAATGCTCAGGTGGCTGCAGAAGGGGGCTGGAGGCTCTAGTGACCCTAAAGCTAAGCTCCATCCTCAGAGCTACCTCTCTAGCTCGGCCAATATCTGGCATAACTAAACTTTTAAGATGGAAATGTTCCCAAAAAGATTATTTAAAAAAATGGTTCGAGAGCATCTGAGAATCTTTAGAAGTTAGTGTCACTAATCTGCCACTGATCTAACAAAGCATGCTGCTTTATCAAAGACAGTAATCTATGGTGAACACACAGTAGTGCATATGCAAGCTGGTGTGGAAATCGGCAGTGAATTATTTGCATAAGAAGCACATTACAGGTTTAAAACATCATTATTTTTGACCTTAAAATTGTGTATTTTTGAGTACACATTATATGTTGTCTTCTAACTTTATGTGTGTGTCTGTTTAGGTACATGTGTGTGTATGTGCGTGTGTATACTCTGCACGACAGCCATGAGACATAAATGTTACTACCTCCAATTTCTAGTTGAGGAAAGGTTAAGTGATTTGCCAGAAATTATAGAACTGTTAAGTGGCATTAGCAGGAGCAGAACCCAAAGCTGGCTGACCTCAGAGCCTGCATTTTCTGATTACATGCCATCGCTTTTTTAAAACCACGCTGTAATGCACAGCTCGAAGCAAGTGAAATACTGCCTCTGCATGTAGGAGAATATGAAAAGCCATGGGCACAGCTATGCAGCCACCCAGATGGGTAGGAATGTTTGAAAAGTCTTGGGGAGCTCCTTTATTTGAGAGGCAATAGTCAAAGCAGTAGAGTATAAAAAAGCTACAGCCTCAGTCCATAGGACAGAGCACAGAGGAGAAAAAGTCTGATGATTTTTCTCACCCACACTTGGATAGATTTTCATCATCAATTGGTGCATTAATTCTCTTTGGCTCCTGGAAACAGTCATTTGCTTAATAGCTCTTTTGTGACCGAGGGAGTTAATGCACAATCCCAAACGGCTTAACTTTCAGCTGAGGAGGAGTTTAGGCAGAGGAAAAAAAAAATCTAACTTCATTTTTCACAAATAATTTGGAGATGAAAGTTGGAACAAATGCTCTCACTATTTTTGTTGAGAAAGAGCCCTGTTTTATTTTGACAGAGGTCACTGAGACATAGGAGGCAATTTTCATGTGGAGATATTTCCTTGAGTCAGTATAAATGGAGCAGAGAAAAGGAGTGAAACACAAAATGTTCTTGTAAAGTTCAGATTTTTCTGGGTCCTACTGTGAAGTTTTTGTACTAGAAAATTTGGGCTAAATTCTAAATACCTATCTTAACTTTTTAACTTTATATCTTTGGAATGGTTAAAAATACTTTTCCAGGGTGCCTGGATGGCTCAGTGGGTGAAGCATCTGCCTTCGGCTCAGGTCATAATCCTGGGATCAAGTCCCGCCTTGGCCTCCCTACTCAGGAGAGTCTGCTTCTCCCTCTGCCCCCCATCACGTGCATGTCGTACTCATTTGCATGATCTCTCTCACAAAAATAAATAAATAAAAATCTTTCCAAAAAATAATTGAAAAAATTAAAGAAAATAATTGTCCAGTAACTGAAAATCTGGGTCTCTCATAGGTTCAGTTCTTTGCCCTACTGCAGACTTAAAATGATTAAGTGATGATTATGTATAATTAATTATGCTATAGAAATGCTAAGATGGTTATAATTGTATGGTTTAATTTTCTTGTCAGGTAATAAAACAGGAAGATCTTGGCCAGGATCTTTCTGATTGTACTTTGTATGATCTACTGAAATACGATGATTTTAACTCTGACAAGCACCTGGTTCTTGAAGAATTTTATAGAACATTCCGTGAGTATAATATTCATTCTCTAACTTCTTCATTCTTTTTCCTATTTCTTTAAACAAGACAGTATATTTGCTTGATCTCAGAGTACAAACTATTTTTTTTAAAGAAGTGATAAAAGTAAGATCATTTAAGTGCTTAACTGTACTGAAACATATGTAAGAGCTAAGGAGTTTGGTAATTTTAAAATGAAAATCTGGAAGTATTTGATAACCCTAGATATCAGTTCTTATTGATTCTAGTTGAAAACATTAATTCTACAATATTGCTTCTAAGGTTTGGAGTAGGAGCAGCACTTAACTTACTTTCACCATATGGCAAAAACAATTTAATCATTTACAAAGTGACCTTTTTGTTTTGTTTTTTTACACTATTGGGAACCCAAAGTAGATTACTAGATAGACTTTGCGTTATGTTAGCAATAATTAGCATAAGTATGCAAAATTGTATTTATGTTAGGGTACTTTGGAATAATTTATATATGTTTAAATTGCTTAACGACTACTTAAAATTGACCTTATGTGCTTTATAAAGGGGAGTTATAAAGACGATCTGGTTTAGAAAAGCTACCTGCCAGGTTGTTATTTAAAAATATTTCAAAGAAAAAAGTCTTGGGGACAGAAACCAGAAGGGAAAGATTTAAGGGATGTGTGCAAAAATTAAATTAACTGGCTGTTGTTTGAAAATCTCCAAAGAATCAAAGTTCAACAGGGTCTAATTCAGCACAGAAGCCAGTATTTTTTACATCTACCTATCTATCATACATCTACTCTCTTTAATATGTTATGTGTATATGCATTTATATATTGCTTTCCAGAAGACAGGAAAAAGTGAATGTACTTGATGTGAAAAGATTTCTTTTGAATTATGCCTCTGCCCTCTATCAGTGGTCTGATATTCGGGGAATTACTTTAATTTCTGAAAATTCATATAAACAAGGATAGTAATTTCATATTAAAACATTAAATTATATGTTATGTAATATTTGGTATAAGCAAAATAACACATGTGAAAGAAACAGTTGCAGGTTTTAAAGCCTTCTATCAGTATATTCTTCAATTTTAATTAAATTGCATTTCCATATTAAATTAAAAGGCAGGATGACTCTGTAAACAATCACTTATAAGTATGTTACAAGGTGAGACTATTTTTAAAAAATAACAAGAAAGCAATATTATTATTCGACATTTGTATGAAGAAACTGAAACACAGGGAAGTTAAGAACTAAGTAGCTGAGTTTATAATCAAACCTTTGTCAGACTGTGAAATCTATGTGTTTCCCACTAAACTTCACTCTGTAATAGGCATTATATTGTGTGCTCATGGTGGCAAAAAGATACTATGGTTTTTCAGGAAAGAAATTATACATACATTGTTTTATATTTATATTAACACCATCCTTTTAAATTATTATATAAACACTGTATGCAAGATAAAAGGACTAAACATCATAAAAAGACCTAAGTAAAATATTAAGTGAATTGAGAGTGTAATATACAGTTTGGGAAGTCAAGGAGACTTAAAGGTGATATCAATTGCATTTGTCTCCAGGATGAGTGGATATGGTTCAGGCAATAGGACATGGGAAATTGGACAAAAATAATAGCATAAATAAGAACTCAAGTGCATGACATATCAAGGTATTTACAGAAAATAGTTCAACTGCAAAAATCTGTTCCAGGTGTGAAATTCTATGAAAATATACCAATTATTATTACTGTTTTACTAACTTGTCTTATTAAATAAGCTGTATAACCTACCAACTCCCATCCCTCACCCTTATACAATGCAGATACATGGATTTAACTACCTAAAAGTAATTGGAACTTGTAGGAAAAGCAGGTAACATTTTTAATGGTATGCAATTTATCAAGCATCAATAAAATAATTAAATAGATGTTTGTGTAGAATTCTTATTCAAAATATAATTATTGTTGATGAAGTGCTGGAGCAAGAAACTGAAACAATAAAAATAATGTATAAATAGTCTGTTATTTTTATGACAGCACAGCAAAGTCTGAATAAAGATCCCTGGCAATATCAGTAAATAAGAATCTTGTCCAGAATAGTGTTGCTTGCACCTCTCACAGGGAAAAAATGATACTGGGTTTTGATATATGATTTGATGTTGCTAAGGAAGGCAAGGTAGATCAGTATATTGTTCTGATAAAGAAAATTTTACATTTCAGAAATCTTGTATCATCAATAAAAGCATTCAATAGAGAAATAGTAAAGTCTTCTCTATGAAGGAGCTAAATTATACTAAGAACTCCTGAGGTTGAATGGGAAAAATCTATATGATTTGGGTTAACTATTAGAAGATAATATGGTAACAATTTTATGGAAATTATTTATAGTAAATGCAATGCGTTTAATGAATATTGTAATGTTTCTGCCATTTGGTCAAAATTATGTATAACACGAAAGGTCTGCTTTTTAATATTCTGAGTCATAAAGATATATTAGGTAATGAAAGCACTTGGCACTCAGAAATCATATTATGAGCTTTTTCCTTTTTGTATAATCAGAAAACTATCCCTTAATAATGATAAAATAGTATTCATATAATCATTTAGAGAATATAATGTTTTCTAAGTAATGCTGGAATTATATGGAATATTTTAATATTCTTTGTGGTCTTAACAAGCAATTTTCTGGAAAGTATTATATTTTCACTGTTGCACTTATTGAAACAGGTCATCAAACTATACAATGATCCCTCAGAGACAGCAGAATTAATTTGTATGGATTGTGTCAGCATTAGCAAGAGGTATTTATACTTTTTGAATAGGAAATATATATATATATTTATTTATTTCCATCTTTACAATACTTTATAACGAAACCCACTTTGGCTTTGTGAAGGTTAGTGACAGGCTTTTAATGATGGCGTGATTTGAAAAAGTCACTATATTATGAAATACTAAGGTAGTATCATGAATAAAAATGTGTAACAATAGTGAGAAAGGCAATCTATTAAAAAAATAATGTATTAAGTACCTATGTGTATAGAATGCTGTGATAGTTAAAAACCTAAAAAAAATGTTTTTCTTTCCTTTAGGAATATATAATCTCAGACAGACAATGATAAAAATGACAGATCTAGCATGTGTAAAAATAATATTTTTTTAACAGAGAGAATGATTCCCCCAGATAGTTCCTAAAAAAAAAAAATCCCAGAAAACTAAAAAGTCCCTAAATGAATGTACAGAGGAATAAATTAAGTCCAGAGAAGTTAAAACACACATACACACACACACACACACACACACACACAAACTTTTCTTGATCCATTAATTATCTGCTGGTAGATACACACTTTTGGAGTTCCAGTTTAATATTCTTTCTGCCATGGTATAAAATAGAAGAAAGTAAAGCAAAAGGAAATGGGCAAACAAGAAAAGTTTAATGGTAAAAAAAAAAAAAAAAAGAAAAAAGAAAGAAAAAAATCATCACTATTACAGTGCTATTACAGCAGTTATAAGGTTTTCTATAAAATAGCCTTTTCTTTTCCTTTTTGGATAAGATGAATTATTTCAATATTACAATCGAAATTGAATGGTATGTTTTTCTTCATAATTTTTTACCTTAATAAAAAGGTATTTAAAATACATCCTCAGTGTGAGTATCAAATATTCTAAATCATGCCTCATTTGGTTAACAAACTTGGAGATCTATTTAATGGGATCAAATAAATTTTAAATGAGGTCAGTGACATAGTTTTTGAATACTTAGAGGAAATACTAAATCTTCTGGTCAGATGGTGAACACCTTTCACCAGGCATTTTGTTGTCTTGAGTATTTTCAATAAACTGTGTAGGTTTTTCAATGCAAAAGTTTCTTATAGAATTAAATATGAGTCCACAGTGCTATTATTAATCACAAGGACTTGAATTGATGTACAATGAAACATCACTTTATTTTCTTCCCATTCAAAATTAAATTAAAGGGTTTGTTTGATTTGCATGGGGCACTACATTGTTGCCTTAAATCTATAGGTAAATGCAAGTGATTTGCCATCAAACAACATGACTGTACACTGAATTGAGGCATTTAATTTCAAAAGTGATACTCAGATAAATGTTTACATTTACTTATTTTTGCCATCAAATTCAATTGAGGTGATAAAGTGCCATGATATGATTATTAATTGTTTTTATTTCTAGCTAACAAAAAATGATGCTATTGGTTATCCAGGGAAAGAATAATTGTTTGGAGAATGCTTTCTGTGTACTTTATCTTCTGAGTTAAATTATAAGTCGTTTGACTCTAGTGCTAAGACTTAAAATTGTATGAAATGAGGAGTTTGCAATTCCAATAGATTCCTGAAATTCTATTAAATTCTTATGAATTGCAGTTCCCAAAGTCATATAGATGTACTTCAAGATATGTATGTATTCTATTAGTTCAAGTTCTAATGTCACACTTAAATAAATCTCTATCAATTCAAAATGGTCTTTATGTGTGGAAAGTTCCAAAAAAAGAGATGTGTTTCTACTAGGCATGAAATAATTAGTTTTTTGCAAGCATAACGCATCGACTGTGAGCATTTATATTTAAACTAATTGTATAATAGTTCCCTGTCCTTTCCTTAAAAGAATAAGTAATTAGAATTCTAAAATTTTAAAATATTTTAAAAAACATGGAATGATTATTTTAAATTGCCTAGCTATTCATGATTATACTCAAAATGTCATCTCTCTTTATATGAAACAGTTCTTAATGGGATATAGTTTTGATAATGACATTAGAAGGAAAAAATCATTTTCTAGGAAATCACAGTTGCTATAATAAAAATATTACTTATTGGAACCATCTAATAATCAGAGTGATGAAATATGAATATTATGTTAATATTCATAGATATTAGATCATTAGTATATGAAAGACATTTATTTGAGAAAAATAGCAGGGCTTAGTGAGAAGAATTAAGATTCTTACAGTAATATGGGTTAAAGGTGATAGGGCCAGAACTAAAGGAGCAATTGTAATAATTCAGGGAAGT